TGATAGAGACTAACAATGTTAAGACTTGATCTGCATTCCTGTAGTTCTTCTGGCCTGCCTTTGTCATAGTGTCCATGGGAGTCCCACCCTCAGAGAGGGAGGCAAAGGCCTATGTGAGAGCATTAGTCAATGTTATCATTGCCTTTCTCCTATGTCTCATTGACCTAGTTTCTAGGTCACAGAATGAATAACTGTAGCTGCAAAGGAGTCTAGTAAAGAAAACATTCTTCTATAACGAAACGTGTCTACTGGGTTGCCAGCCAAGAGCTTTGCTACAGTATTTCAGTTCAGTCTTGGTCTCTGATGTAAGAAGTACAGTTATCCCACTTTAGAATGAGGGTGGTTATTGAGGCACTGGCAGAACCAAGACTTAGGCTTTTCATCTTACTGTCTCAAATGGGTTAAGCCAGGCGTGGTGACACACACCTTTCTTTGATCCTATCACTCCAGAAACAGAAGGATCTCTGAGTTTGATGCAAGCTTGGTCTACTTAGCGAGTTCCAGGACAACCAAAAAACCCAAAACCAAACCAAAACCACCACCACCACCATCATCAAAAAAGTTAGGGCTAGAGAGATGGCTCAGTGGTTAAGAGCACTGACTGCTCTTCCAGAGGTCCTGAGTTCAATTCCCAGCAACCACATGGTGGCTCACAACCACTTGTAATGAGATCTCGTGCCCTATTCTAGCCTGCAGGGACATATGCAGGCAGAATACTGTATACATAATAAATAAATAAATCTTAAAAAAAAAAAGTTAACAGAAGGTAAAATGAGTTGCTGGTACCCTAAGTATAAAGCATTTACAATTTTTGTACATATATACAATGTATAAAATCATATTCAGGCCCTCTACACCTCCCAGATCCACCCCAACAGTTAAAACTGATTCGTTTTTCTCCATCTCTGTATAATCATGTCTTCTCATCCTAAATTCCCTCAGCTGTACTGACTTACATTGAGTCTTTCATTCCAGGGTAACTGATTCACATTTTCACTTTCAGGAGTCTTGGTTATTAATGTGCAAACTATACGATACAATCGGTACAATTGTATCAGGGCGCCCCCTCACCCCATTCATGTTGAAGCCCTAACCCCCCATGTGAGGATATTTGGTGATGGAGCCTTTGGGATGCTTGTAAGCTTTCCATAACAAAATCCTGGAACAGGGATTGGTAGAGTGCTCGCTTAGTACCATGGGAGCACAAGGCTCTAGGATTCAATACCCAGCACTGTCCCCAGCCCTATCCTTAGATGACCATAGCTGTTTCGGGTTTCTGTTCATGACTTTTGGCCCTCTTCCTCTTACTTCCTGTCTGTTGTGAGGCAGCCTGTCATATCAGAAGCATGTAGTAGAGCAAAGCTGCTTAGTTTATGGCCCAGGACATGAGAGTGTCTCACAACCCTTGAAGACATATGGCTCGGTAAAATGAGACCCATCAGACATCTCTCCTATCAGACACCCCTAGTGCTATTGGCAAGAGAGAGCTGACAACGTACGGCCTTTGGGAGTATATTTCAGATTCAAGTCATAGCAGGAAGCCATTCTGTCTGAATGAGGTCATAGGGTGGGGCCCTCATAATAGAGGAGTGGTTCCTCTCGGCCTTGTTGACACAGCAGGAAGGTAGTAACCTTTCTTGTAATTGCAAGCCTTATCACAAGACTTAAATTGACCTTGGACTTGTCAGTCTTCAGAACAGCTGCTTAAGGCCTGGGGTCTATGGTATGATGTAATAGCAGCCTAAACCAGTCACGTTACTCATCTTCCCTTCCAGCGACAGCCCTTACTTGGCCCCACTGTTCAAGGCCCCCCCCCCCCCCCCACAGGGTTTCTCTGTGTAGTTTTGGTGCCTGTCCTAGATCTCGCTCTGTAGACCAGGTTGGTGTCGAACTCACAGAGATCCGCCTGGCTCATGCTTCAGCCCTGAGGCATGTGCCACTGCTGCCCGGCTCACGGTTGCTTATTTTCAACACATTTTATATTATGTTTTTAACTCAGCAAGCAAAGCATAAACCCTCCTGCTTACCTTCTACCAGGGAAAGACAGGAAATAAAGGAGCAGAGCAGGAATGTAGGTGACCAGAGAATAGGGAAAGGATGCCACATTTTTAAGCATGTCAGTAAGGAATGAACGTCTAAACCACAGGTTTTAAAGAATTGAGGGATGAAGTCATTTGCTTATGTGCAGGAACTGTTACAGCCAAGAGGAAATGTATGAAAGCTTTGTGGTGGGGATGGTGCCTAGCACGTTCCAGGAAAAGGAAACTGGAACAAAACAGTGGGCTCAGGAGTGAAGCACACTCAGTCTCCTATAAGACACTGGCTTCTGCAAGGAAGTGAGACAAAGTCTCTAGACTAGTTTTTTTTTTTTTGGTTTTTTCGAGACAGGGTTTCTCTGTGTAGCTTTGCGCCTTTCCTGTAACTCACTTGGTAGTCCAGGCTGGCCTCGAACTCACAGAGATCCGCCTGGCTCTGCCTCCCAAGTGCTGGGATTAAAGGCGTGCGCCACCACCGGCCCGGCTAGACTAGTTTTTGTTTGTGCATTTTTTGTTTTTGAGACAGGGGTCTATGTAGTCCTGGCTAGTCTGGAGCTATGTAGATCAGCCTGGTCTCAAACTCCCAAGAGTCCCTCCTGCGTGCACCATCACACTAAGTCTACTGTACTGTGTTCTAAAGTGGGAAACACACAGCAGAGCTTACCAGATGACCAATCCTTTGGGTGTCAACTCACACTCACTGGATATGGAGGTTGAGTGTGGATGACTAGGGCCTTTGGAGGACGGTGTGGTAGTTCTAATGAAAATGAGTCCCCATGGGCTCATTCAATACTTGGGTCTCCAGTGGCTGCTTGGTGTAGCCTTGCTAGACAAAGTATGTCACTGGGAGCAGGCTTTGTCTCAAAAGACGGGCTACCATTGAGTTTACGGTTGGCCTTGTGGATTAAGACATGAGCTTCCACAGGGTGTGGTAGCATTTGCTTTTAGTCCTAACATAAGGGCAGAGGAAGGACCTCAGTTCAAGACCAGCCTGATCTACATAGTGAGGCTCTGTCTATAAAGTAGCTCTTAGCTAATCTTGCCACCAAGGACTCTAACCCTGATACCATGTACACAATTAAACCTTTTTTCTCTTAAAAATAAGGTGTCTGTTCATGGTGTTTTGTCACAGCAATAAAAAAGTTCCACACAACAGATGAAAGGCTGCAGGAAGCTGACTGTGCATCCACGGCAGCAGCCCTAATCTCTCAGCCAACTGCAGTCTGTATGGATGGCCAGGCCTGCTCTCACCAACAGCCCTTTGTTCAAACAGGATTTCTGTGTAGCCCTGGCTATCTCTGTAGACCAGGCTTGTGGTAATACTTTATTTGTGCTCTAATAAAACTTGCCTGGAGATCAGAGGGAAAAGCGAACCATTATATTAAACATGGTAGTCAGACAATAGTAGCACACACCTTTAATCCTATCATTTGGGAGGCAGGATTTGTCTACACATGCTGGCCTCAAACTCAAGAGACCTGACTGCCTCTGCCTCCCAAGTACTGGGATTAAAGCTCCACAGCAAGATTTTTATTCCCCGTCTTTGATGGTATCATTTAACTTCACTGACTGAGCTCCATTTGGATTACCAGTCTGTTTCTGGTCATATTTGTCCTTGGCCCATGATCATTAACTTAGCCACACACACGTCTGTCACAGACTTCCTTCCATCAACCAACCTCAATATCAAGATAGTCCCCGATATTCAAATACCACTCATCTAAAGATGAGTTGATGGCTTTCCCCACATTGTGTATTCTCCATTCCCTCACAGCACACTGTGTCTCCAAATTCCTTCACCCCTGCTGTTGAAAATACATCTATTTTACACCCTTTCTTCTGGATTTCTATCCCAAGTCTCACTTGGACTTCTAGGTCTGGTGATTTAGACTTGGTATTACAATTGTTACCCCTGGGTCATTTTCCTCTCCAACTTCGATTTGCTAATTTTAGTACTACGACAGTCTACACAATCCAAAGAATTGTCCCGATTGCCCTGACGTGGGAAGACCCACCCCGAATCCTGGGCAGCACCTTCTGCGAGCACACCAGATAGAAAGGGCAGGTTGCTTCTTTGGCCTTTCCTCTTGGTGAGTTGATCTGCTTTGTTGTTGTTGATTCCTTTCCAGACTCCAGAAGCAGTGCTTGCAAGCTTCCACTGGTGAACTAAAGACATCCAGCTCTCTAGGAACCTTCCAGGTTTCTGGCAGGAGGTAAGGTTGCTAAGGCACCTAGCTTCAAGGACTAAGCAACTACCAGAAATCCCCTTCACAGAAATCTTGACAGCAGCATTTTCAGAAACCACGGGTGGTATGAGTCAACACCAACACATCCCACAGTGTATTTATTTAATAGGGATGACCCATCAATTCATTAGTTTCTACTATAAAGAAGTGGTCCTGGGGCTGGAGAGATGGCTCAGAGGTTAAGAACACTGGCTGCTCTTCCAGAGGTCCTGAGTTCAATTCCCAGCAACCACATGGTGGCTCACAACCATCTGTAACGAGATCTGGTGCCCTCTTCTGGCCTGCAGACATACATGCAGGCAGAACACTGCATACCTAATAAATAAATAAATCTTTAAAAAAAAAAAAAAAGTGGTCCTAAGTTTGGTTACAAAGAGCAGCTGTTACTCCCCACCCAGATGTTCTCTACTGCAATGATGTGTTCTATGGAGCTTTTCCAGAGGGAAACATCACTTGGACTTGAACAGCAAGCACTATGAAACTCCACTACCCGTTTACTTTGCAGTAACAGGAACTCCTGACTCCACAGCTGATGTCTTAGAGCATTCTGGACAGATGAACTCACCTGTCCATTAAAAAAATAGACCCCAATCTTAAGACAGTGTCCCTGTCCCCAGGGAGTGGGTAAAACCAGTGTCATTTATTTGTAAACTTCTTCACTCTAAAGATCCTGTAAATGGGAAGAAATTACTAAATTATGACAAAACTAGACAGACACTATTATTTAAGACCTTTATTAACAGGTGCTTGCAGTTTGTTGACTTTTTTGAAAAAATCAAGTTGTAAACTTTTATTACAAATTAAAAATGAAGTTCTTAAAAATCTCAACTTGACCAGATATGAAACAATTTAAAAACCATTAAAGGTGTATTGAGAAAAACCAGACCTTTTTTTTTTTTTTTAAAAAACACATTTGTCATTACCAAAAAGAGACATCTTTAGGTAAAAATAATAAAAACCCCATGCTGCATAGATAATGCAGATAGTTCTAGTGTATCTGGTCAACGGGCAAAAAGCAAGCACTTAAGGTCTTCAGCTCCAATCTTTGTTCATTTCTTATTGCTGGAATTTCATATCATTTCTTCTTGTTGGATGACCAAACTGCAAAGAAAAGACTCTTATTTACTATCCTCTGAAGTCTTCACACAGTGGACCACACTCTAGGGGCACATCAGTCACACTTTAACCACCTCATTTTGCTTTAGCCTAAGAATGATTTACAACACAAGTGGACACTACTGCACTATGGATGCATTTGGATGATCTTTTGCTACCCAGTATATACAAAAGGGGAGAAAATGGCAACCCCAGAACCAGAGGTAAGACTCCCCTCCCCGGCTTTCTAAGACAGGATTTCTGTGTAGCCTTGGTTTTCCTGAAACTCATAGATCTGCTTGCCTCTGCCTCTAGTACTGGAATTAAAGGTGGGCACTATTACACCTTACAAGATTACTTTTCAAAACCTTCTTGAAAATGCATGTTATCTTGAGAGCATCAGGAGCAAGACTCTGCTTACTAGCTTTCTGTCAAGACCAGAGTTGATTGGTTCAGAAACAGTCACAAGCTCATGTCAAATTGATCTAAAGGGAGACATTTTGTCTAACTTGGATTAGAGTGAATGAACTAATTAAATGGCTTGTCTTACGCTATTACTGTTTTGAGTTTCTTCTGCACTAGAGCAGAGAGGGTAACTACTCACCCGGATGATGGTAGAGATGGTAAGCCGGCATTTACTCAGCCCCGCCCTGCTCAGCCTCGGGAGCGGACGAATTCTCAGCTGGTGGATCGGCTGCTTTTGTCTCTTTGCCATCTTGTGGTTTAGGGTTCTCTGGGCGTCTGCGTCGGTAATTGAAGTTGCGGCGGTACCGACGTTGAGGTGGCTGCTGACCTTGGGTCTCGTCTCCTTGATTTTCCTTGTCCTCTTCATTGCCATCCTCTCTAGGCTGTCTTTGGCGAGGAGGGCCCCTGAAATGAACATTGTATAATAATATAGAAAGGAGAACAGCTTTTCCTTTAACCCAACCACAAGTGGTAATACTTGGTACTAGGTTGCACCATTTTCTTTTAGGTGATCTTTCAGTCAGTTTAGCAAAGACAAAAATGTAAGTTATTTCTAAAAGCCAAGTGTGATGATTCTGTGTAAAAAGCATATTCTTTCATTCATATAAACCAAGGCCAGTAAATCTGAGTCTGTTGCTCAAATTGCTTGGAATGAACAATGCTGGTGCACTCACTCACTCTATACCTTTTGAATCAACTTATTTTCTTGCCAATAACCATTCTTCCACTATACTTCCTATCTATCATTTCCATTTCTCATACACTAAAATCCTTGACCTCACATTGTCTTTTTAGCTCCTTTCCATCATAAGTAGCTATACTTTCCACGTATCTTAAGATTTCTCTCAATTTGGGGCTGGAGAGATGGCTCAGAGGTTAAGAGCGCTGGCTGCTCTTCCAGAGGTCCTGAGTTCAATTCCCAGCAACCACATGGTGGCTCACAACCATCTGCAATGAGATCTGGTGCCCTCTTCTGGCCTGCAGTCATACATGCTGTATACATAATAATAAATCTTTAAAAAAAAAAGATTTCTCTCAATTTGCTCATGAACACAAGTACAATTCTGTACCATGTACTTGTACATGAGGAGGGACAACATGTTTCATTTACTATTTTAACATTTAAACTGACAAGCCATCCACTGAGAAGTGACCAATTTGTTGCATGGTTGGAAAATTCTACCCTTTGTGCAAACTTTAAAGAGAAATGTTATCATAAAATTCAAGGGTTTGGAGAGATGGCTCTATAGTTAAGAACACTTGTTCACAGAGGACCACCATGCCATCAGGAGAACCCACACCCTCTTCTGACTTCCATGGCACCAGACATACATTCAGGCAAAACATTCATACACACGAAGAAAAACAACCCAAAAGATTTACAAAAATAATTTAAAAAACTAGAAACATTAGCTGTAACAAATACAGAACAAAAGCCTGTGTATGGAAGCAGGCAAGGCTTAATATCTCTGTCTGTCTGTCTACCTGTATGTTTGTGACTTTTTTTTTTTTTTGGTTTTTTGAGACAGGGTTTCTCTGTGTACTTTGCGCCTTTTCCTGGATCTCGCTCTGTAGACCAGGCTGGCCTCGAACTCACAAAGATCCACCTGCCTCTGCCTCTGCCTCCCGAGTGCTGGGATTAAAGGCGTGCGCCACCACCGTCCGGCTTTTGTTTGTGACTTTTTGAAACAGGGTTTCCCTGTAGCTTTGGCTGTCCTGGAACTCACAGAGATCCACCTGCCTCTGCCTCCCAAATGCTGGGATTAAAGGCGTGTGCCACCACCATCTGGCAATATCTCTATCTTTATAGAAAGCATTTAAGTAAAAATACCACCAAAAGGAATTTGCTCAAGATACCAGTGAAACTAGCAAGAGACTTTTAAGTCCTACAATGTAAAAAAATAAAATAAACCAAAGATTGTGTTGCTGACTCCTGCAGACTAACGTATAGATGGCTGAGAGCAGCTTTATACTTACGATGTGGCAATGGGTGTAGCAGATGAATTTCCATGTCATCTTAGAAATACTGAGTCATGAACATCAAAGATGGACATGAAGAATTCAGCACAGGGACAACACAATAACAGTCACCAGGGAACTGTCCACATCCCCCAGTAGTTAAAGAGTTCTTGTTCTTGCTGGGTTCAGTTCCCAAGCACCCACAATTACCTCTTCTTTCCTGGATCTCGTGCATGCCTTTAATCCCAGCACTCAGGGGCAGAATCAGGTGGATGCCTGTGAGTTCGAGGCCAGACTAGGATGCAGGACATGCATCAAAACTACACAGAGAAACCCTGTCTCGAAAAACCAAAAACACAGGACAAGGCACACCCTTTAATCCTAGCACTCAGAAGGTAGAGGCAGGCAGATCTGGATCTGAGTTTGAAGCCAGTCTGGGTTCCACAGAAAAACCCAGCCTTGCAGGGCAGTGGTGGCACACGCCTTTAATCCCAGCACTCGGGAGGCAGAGCCAGGTGGATCTCTGTGAGTTCGAGGCCAGCCTGGACCACCAAGTGAGTTCCAGGAAAGGTGCAAAGCTACACAGAGAAACCCTGTCTCGAAAAAAACCAAAAAAAAAAAAAAAAAAAAAAAACCCTGCCTCAAAAAAATGAACAGAACACAGACAGCAGGTATGGTGGTGCACTCTTTTTAATCCCAGCCCCAACGAGCAACTTCAATGAGTTCTGGGCCAGCCAGTCAGAATTAACACGACAGCCTGCCTCAAAAATAAAAATTGAACCGCCACAAGGCACATAAGCGCAGACTATGGCCATGTTGGGTGCGGTAGTGCATGCCTTTTATCCCAGCCACTCAGGCTGAGGCAGGAAGGCTGGTATGAGGCTAGCAGCCCAGGCAACTTAGTTACATTCTGTCTCAAAATAGCAAACAAAAGCCAGAGGAGGAGCTGGGCAGAATGCTTGCTCATCAACCATGTCTGAGGACTTTTGTCCAGATCACCAGCATCACATAAAAAGCTGGGTGGTGGTTGGGCAGTGGTGGTACATGCCTGAGGCAGAAGCTGGCAGATCTGAGTTTGAGGCCGGCCTGGTCTACAGAATGAGTTCCTGGACAGCCCAGGGATACACAGAGACTCTGTCTTGAAAAACAAACCAACCAAACAAACAAAAAACAAAAACTCAAAAAGCTGGGTGGTAATGTCTATAATACCAGCACCAGGGGTAAAAACCTAGGGTTCACTGGCCAGCCAGTCTAGCTCAATCAATGATCCAGTGAAAGACTATTATTTTTAAAAACTGAGGGAAATGATTAAGAAAGACACCTAATAATGACATACACACACACAAAATGAGGGGAAAAAAGGCCAGGATATTTATCTTCCTTACAAGAGGTCATGGGGGTCAATCCCAAATTCTGGACGGGGTGAGAAATTAGCTGCTAATCCAAGTGCTCCACGTGTGTGGAACACTAACTGTTGTTGTTACATAGCTCTATAACCTCACTTTGTTCTCGAACCCCTAAAGCTTCAGTCATGAATGAGACCTCTCACTGCATTATGCCACTGGCAACTTTGTAAGTCCAGCAGAGCTAGTTTTGCTCATGAAACTTCCTCAGTTATTCCAATAGATCCTTTTACCTAAAACACCTACTATACAGGACTTTCTATACTCAAATAGGTAGACAGGCTCTACTTGAGTTCAGGTTGGTTCCTGGATGCTGTAATAGGCACCATACACTCCTAATGCTTACTAGGTTAACCTTACCTTTCTTCTCTCCTAAGCAAGCCATGTTTTAGATACTGTCATTTGAAATACGCTTCTCACCCATTCAGGGATAGAAAATTTGGCATTTCCACACCCTTGCTTTAAAAAAAAACAAAAACCCCACATAAAGTAGATCTCAACCACATCAGCTGTTTTAAAGCAGTGCCAAAGGAAGACGCAAAGACTATGTTCTCAAAGAGTACTCACTTGAGGATCACTTCTTACGCATCAGTGAAAGAAAATGTGGAGTATTAACTCAGGATGCTGGAGAGGTCTAACATCTGGCTGAAGAATCTAACAGAAACAGGTTATGATGGACCATACCTGCGGAATCGTGGTCTGTAACCCCGATACATATTCTGTCTCACTGGTCTACCTTGCTCTCCTGCACCCTGGTTGTCAGCACCCTGAAAAGACACCAGAAAGTCTATTAATAACAAGAACAAAATCCCATTCAGGCAACTTCAAACTTTTGTTTCTTTAAAACAGGGTCTCTACAAAGCCCCTGGCTGTCCTCCAGAGAGCTGGGATTAAAGGCATACACCACCACCTCCTGGCAAATTCCAATTCTTGAGTGCAACATTATCTATTAATTATGATCACACCATAAATTAACAAGCTTGGTGGTTCTTCACATTCAAAAGTGCATTTGTGGGTAACAGGTTAGTTAATTACTGGGAAAATTTCGAGGAGTTAAGCTGTTGTTACAAGGAGTTAAGTTGGGTTGGTTCTCACATAGCACTTACCTAGCCCTGGGTTACATTCCTAGGACACAAAAGAGACAACACAAAAATGCTGTTACATACATACTGACACTTACCTCCATCACTTCTCCTTGCACAGGAGGGTTGGAATACTGTGGTCGACGCCCATAGGGTCTCCTCAAGTAGTAAGGTGGGAACCTTCGCCTGCGATAGGGCCGGCGTTGTTGGGCTTGGCCTTCAGGAGCGCTTTCCGATCCCTCGTTCTTTTCCCCACTCTCACTATTCTGGTAATTTTGCTGGTAATTGCGTGGAGGACCCCTACGACGTGGATAGCGTCTATAATGGTTACGGTCTGCTGCGTATTTACTGCCTTGAACTGGAACTCCACCAGGTCCTGTAACATTTGCTGCCTCCGCACCCTACAAAAGCCATTATTTATTGATAATAACAAACAAAATCCAAATATTCAATAAATTTCACACAAGCTGGGGAGGGAAAAAAAACAACAAACAACCTAAGAGCAAACAAAATGGAGGGAGGTTGTCTGCATGGGCAAAGGGTGCATGGGAATGACTACATCATCAGCTCCTCACTCTTCTGAAGGGACTGCTTCTCTAACTGCAGCCAGCACATTAGGCTCGATGCACCTGTGTTCATGTGGTCACCAGAACACATCATCCATCCAATTTGAGCCACCATCCTAATGGATGACATCTCCACATTATTTCCATACCGAAGTCAAACCTTTACACAAAAAGCATCCTCACCTTTTCTCCTTCAACAACATCAAACTCCACAGTCTCTCCATCTCCTACACTGCGAAGGTACTTCCTGGGGTTATTCTTCTTTATGGCAGTCTAGTAACATCATTCCAAAAATAGATTAACAGGGGAGAAGAATGTGCTTTTTCATTTAAAATGTACCACCGTCAATATCATTTAGCTTGGATAGATACTTAATATTTGCTTTATATAAGACCAAACTGTCAATAGTTTAGGAAAGCAGGGACCATCGTTACCCCCAACCTCTACCAAAAGACTCCAATCTTACAAGTCCCCAGCATTTTATCACTATTTACAAAACGAAAGTAATTTAATACCCAAGACAGACAACAAAGTGTTTTAAGATGCTTTCTTTGCAAAAGTATCACATATAAAGCTTGGAACAAAATAAGACCTCCATCTATCCCCCAAAGACTGCACTTAATAGTAGAAGCTAGCCCGACACACGGCCAGTTTAGATGACAGGCGAGTTTAGTTTTACATGCTTCAACTTTGACCATACCAACTCTTGTCCCTTTACCATATCAAACTCAATTACAAATGTCAACCAAAATCCCTTCCAGCCTGTCTATGAGTACTTCCAAGGAAATGCATTTCACGTGTATCTATGCCACTTATATTGCTCTCTCTGTATGAGACTACTGGTTATTACCTCCCCAGAAAACAGTTAAGTCTTACATTATATAGGGCTTAAAAAATTATGAAGTGCCCAAGGTCACACAGCTATTTAGTGGCAGGGGAACTTTTCTAAATCCATGTCTTGGGACTCCAAATCCCACGTTCATTCCACATCACAGCAGTATCCATTACAGGATCACTCATGCATTTCCATTCCAGAGGAGGCCGGACAACCAACAAATCTGAGGCCAATTAAGCTCCGGTGCCCAGAACTGCAGTCTACTTGATACACCACCACAACCTGAGCAGCCAAAGTCCCAAGAACAACTCTATGTTGAAACCGCTTGCAAAATAAATAGGAAAGCATATTGGTGACACCTTGTGGGATAGTAAGACTGGGTGAGTTGAGTCAAATAATTGATCTCATCTGTCATCTGAACTGTCGTAGTTTCATACCTTTTATATGTAGCCAACTCTCAATTATTTGCAGTCATAAGGGATAGCAGAAGTATGCGTTAAAACCCCCAAACAGGTTAGTCAACATCTTTAGCCCCTTCTGATCTCATGGTTGTCAGTGGCAGCAAGACTAATAAGTCTTGTTGCTTCTTGTCTGTTAAGTCTGCATATTATTTCTTGTAACAAGAACTTGTTACAAGAACAGGTAAGAGTCACCTTAGCCAAACAAGAACATTAATCTTTTAAAGGTTACATTTTGTCTAAGCAGTTAAATTACATTTAGAATTTGAATGTTTGCATACTTACATTCCATAGGGTTTTGAATATACTAGAAATCTACAGGGCCTCCCCTTCTGACTCTCAATGTATGCTGTGTAGGACACTTCAAAGAATTACAAAATGCTACCCTGTTTGTTAACCACCTCTCCTAAGGAGGATGCAGCCACTCAAACTCTTAGCTGAATAGTGGCGAGTACAGAAACTGATGCTAGGTCTTTTGATCTTCAGTCAGTTAAAAAAAAAAAAAAACTAAAATAAACAAACAAACAAACAGAAGGTTGAAAATTCTTAAAATAACCTTCAACACAAGTGGATGTTTCAACAGTCCTAGTGAAAAGCTGATCACCTGGAAGCACATAGGAAGTGATGTTATTTCCTAACCCACTTCACTTCATGGACGCTGGCAGTGTACCACTCACTCACTTGGCAGCATCTTACTTTATCAATAATTCTTTTTTTCCCCCCCCAAGACGGGGTTTCTCTGTGTAGCCCTGCTGTCCTGGAACTCCCTCTACAAACCAGGCTGGCCTTGAACTCAGATCCGCCTGCTCTGCCTCTCTAGTGCTGGGATTAAAGGTGTGAGTGCCACCACCGCCCAGCATTTACCATTAATTCTTAAATCCTTAATGTCCAGTCATTTTCCTAGTCAGTATGTTTATTTGGCTAAGTTTTCTTCTCCAAAAACATTGGCAGCCAACTAAAGTAATTTACTGACCAATTACAACTCTGCTGCAATGCCTTCCACTTAAGTTGGATTACTAGTGAGGATTTAAATATTCAGCCAATGCTAAAAGGTGAAAACGGAACACACCACTATTTAAAAAATGCTTTTTAGAATGAATAAAAAGAGCCATCCTAGACAGTGTTGGTTTTCTATTTTCTTCAGTAACTGTTTAGTAGCTCTGTCCTATAAAGATCTGTCCTTACCAAAGTTGGACCTGACTATAACAGCACCTGGAAATGTCTTCCCAATGTTTCTGTGTATTTAAAGCAACATTATTCAAGTTTAGACTTGTGGTGGTTATTTGTCTGAAACTAGGCATGAAAGAAAACTGTGTGCCATCAGTTGAACAGATTCAACACTTTAAAACGTTGTTTTAAATTATTAATGGAATTCCTAATCATAACACTTTTTGAAATTAAGCGGACTCTACACTTTAATCATGGGATTACTTTTCAGATGCAGGAACTAAATAAACTCATCCTTGGAGTTAATCTTTAGCAAAGAAGCATGGTTTGAGAACACACCCACCCACTTCTTCTCACAAGCCTGAGCCACAAGTGCAGAGAATCAATGTAAGCACTCACCTGGTGTACAAATACGTCTTCCTTGGTGTCATTCCTGCAAGACAGAACCAAGATTAACAAGTGAAAAAGCTGAATGTATGTTTCACTGCCTAAAAGTGATTAAGAACAGCCTGGCCTACAAATCAATTCCTAGGTCAGCCAAGTTACATAGAGAAACCAGTCTTGGGAGAGGGGAAAAAAAAAAAAAAGCCAAGACAAAACCAAAAACAGTCTGGTCAGTGGACATCCTCGATTTTCCCAGACTTTCTAACTGTCCAAGATTAAGTGGAAAATCCTTTCTATCTTTTGAGTGTGGGCAGGGGCGACGACAACATTAGGAACCTGGAGAAACAAATTTCCACACCTTCAGTGATCGATCGGCTCTACCTTCTTCACCAGGAAAAAGGCACAGTGAAAGCACAAGCTACATGAACTGTTTTAAAGCCTAGACTGTTGGAAACAGAGATAAGCCCACCTGTAAGAAAAGCAAACAAGTCTAAGGCAAGGCAACCAACCGAGCTGTAATTCCAAAGGACAGAGGTGACAAGCGACACCCCTCCCAGTCCTTACCCTATGAAACATTAACAATACCCTAGCACACACCCCCCTTTATCTGCAGACCAGCATTACTAAGGAGGAGTCATTCTCACCTCCTCCTCATTTCTAACCTCCACATTCCCCAAGGTAATAAAAACGACCACAAAAAGTTCTCTAGAAAACACAACCCAGAGAATGAAGCTTAATGTAAACTATGTACATTACACCTTACTTATGTGCCTGACACTGTTTCCAATAACACTCCCCTTCATCTCCCACCATAGATCTATGTCACAACCCTTAGTCAAGTGAATATAGCCAGCAAAGCTTATTTTTTGACAGCTTCAAGTCCAGCCTGGTCTTGAACCTGTGACAGACAGTTCTGCTTCAGCTTCCACAGTGCTGCCTGGGACTAGTTACAGGGGTTTACCAGGAAACCAGACAGTCTTTCATTATAAGAATGTGGTGTGGTAAAAGTATTGCATAAAATGTAATGGAACATCTGAATAGGCAGAGCCCAGCAAGTTAGTTAGGTCAAAGTTCAAATAGGAACTGACCAAGTCTTACACTAAACGACCACCCAATGAAGATATTTAGGTTATCTTTCTTGGGACCAAAATGGAGGAAACTGAATGTGAGGATTAAGTGGGAAATCATTTGTCTTTTGAGTGTGGGCAGGGCTGACAACATTAGGAACCTGAAGAACTACTGGAGAAAGATTTCCTTCCTTTCCTTTAGTGACCCACTCCACCCTCTTCACCATTAGTAAGCCAGAGAAATGGCTTGGTATTAGCTAATATTTTAGCATTTAATAACCAAAGATGCCACTGGCATAACTGTTAAGAAGCAAAAAGATCTGCCTCAAGTGCTGGGATTAACAGAAGTGAGTACCACCTCATCCAACCTAGTCATTTGTTGTTTTAATATGCTTTAAACCGATGGGACCAGTAAGATGGTTCAGCAAGTAAAGGTGCTTACTGACAATGTGAGTTTGACCCCTGGAACTCATATATGGATAATTCCTGTAAGTTGTACTCTGACCTCCAAATGTTCCCAACTCCCCAATAAATAAATGCAATAAAATAATGAATGAGCTGGACATGATGGTGTAAACCTTTAATCCCAACAGTTGGGGGGTTGGGGATTTAGCTCAGTGGTAGAGCGCTTGCCTAGCAAGTGCAAGGCCCCGGGTTTGGTCCTCAGCTCCAAAAAACAAACACACACACACACACACACACACACACACACACACACACACACACACACACACACACACACACTTGGGAGGCAGAGGTAGACAGATTTCTGTGAGTCCAAGACAGCCAGGGCTACACAGAGAGATCCTGTCTCAAAAATCCAGAGTATGCTTTAAATTCAGTGAAAAGGAAAATTTCTGAAGGGTATTGTTTTTTTGCCCACAATAAACAGTTACGTATGAACTTACTTCTGATAAAATGTTATGTATCTAGTTAGGACAGCTTTTAAAAATAGGATTATGCTAGCAATAAGACAGTATTCCCTATTGTCTTGTGACTAGACTGAGGGGTATCATTAAAGTGTATGTAGATGTCAGGAAGAAGCTTGACGCTTACAAATCAGTTTCGACCAAGCTAAAATATCATCAGTTTGAACACTTTAGACCAATGTAGTTACATCTTATTAAAATGACAGGTTAATTTAAGGAACTGAACTAGTTAACAAGAAATCTGACTTTTCTGTCTTGATTCTAACATTAGCCCTGTAGCCTTGAAAAGCTACCCCCTTACTTTACCTACAAAAGGAAAACACTGTAGGTGCTATAGAGATGGCTCAGTTGAATCCAGGAGACGCAATGCCCTCTTATAGTCTCTGTGGGCACCAGGAAAACATGTGGTGCACACATACACAGCAGTCTGGATTATTGAAGATTAACTTTTAAACATTACACTGGGTGTTTCAAACACGACATTTAATCCCCACAATTCCGACATAGGTAGCATCATTAACCCCTACTATTGGGGGATTTATTGAGTCAAAAGGAGGTTTATTTTGGGGGCTAACTTACAGCTAGTAAAGGGGTTGGTTACAGGATCCAGGAGAGGTGAGGTGCAGTTCAACTGGGTTCTCTGGAGAACTCCACTCAGTCTACCATCCAGCATTCAGGATCACCAAGAACCAAGAGAGCCAGCACATACGGATCTTGGGTCTTAAGGGCTCCTGTCTCGCCCCGCCTCAGGGGCAGGTCATAGGTAGGCCTGACAGTTACTGGAAGCCTCACAGGGGGTGGGGTGGTGGTGGTTGTACTTGCACTACACCCTACCATCTTCAGAAAGCAGGGAATTGAAATACAACCTGTTGCCATTTGTTCATAGCATTGACTTCTGACTTTATGGGGGCTCTGGCCCTCACCACATTGGAATTAAAAAAAAAAAACCTTACATTTACTTTTAAGTAATTTTCAAAAAGAATTTTCATTTATATGTACTTGCATGTGTTTCTTGTATGTCTTTCTGAGTAAATGCTAGGTGTGTGCTAGGTGTCTGGGGAGGCCCAAAGTGGGTGTCAGATCTCACTGAAGCTGGAGTTTACAGGTGTTAGGAAGTGAACTGGGGTCCTATGAAAAGAACATCCAGTACTTTGTAAACACTGAGCCACCTTTTCCAGCCCACATTTTAACCTTTAAAGGGAGATTAAAACACAATTGTAGGATGACTAGTAGTAACAAGAATCCCTCTATGCTTTCCTGATGTAGGTCAAGGAGGACAAAAGCAGATCCCCCCTTTCATTATCATCTGTGCCACACACTTAAAGCATTTACTGGATATGCCTACCATTCAAACCTTAGCTCTCTACAACTACTATTTCTTTTCTTTTTTTCTTTTCTTTTTTTTTTTTTTAGGTTTTTTCAAGACAGAGTTTCTCTGTGTAGCTTTGCGCCTTTCCTGGAACTCATCTGTAGACCAGGCTGGCTTCGAACTCACAGAGATCCACCTGCCTCTGCCTCCCGAGTTCTGGGATTAAAGGCATGCGTCATCACTGCCCGGCTTACAATTACTATTTCTATTCTACCCAATCTACCCAGACCACCACCAAGGTTCTTAACCAACCAAACCAACCAACAAACAAAACCCCCAACCCAAACAACAGGAACAAAATGACAACAAAAAAATTGAGCTTTCTCAAAGAAATCATCCAATCATGGTGCTGGGGATTGAAAAGCTAAAAATTACGTTTTTTTTTTTTTTTTTTTTAACATACTTTACTGCCTTAAATAAGACATAACGTAAATTCATTCACAATGCTCTACAGGCCATTAGAACTGCTGCCATAATTTCCAAGCCTTGAAAGCTTGCCCTAAAATCACAAATCCCACTTAATCCTTACTTGCTCTCTAGGCAGACATACCATCTTTTTTCAGACATGACCAACCATGCTTCCAAGGGTCTAGACAGGCCTGAAGGCCACCCAACTCCACAACCATAGTCTCAGGCTAAGGAAAACAGAAAGCTAATGTACTTGCTGCTCTTTCTGGGGAATTAACAGCAAATGATTTTACTTGGCAGAAAGAGGAAAAGAACCACCACAAGATGAAGATTCTCTTCCAAGTTATAAGTCAGTGACTGAGTGAATGAATAGTGACTACCCACAGGTAGCTCACTCTTCAAGTTTTGTTTTGAGCAAGTCAAGAGTCCCAGTATTAAGTCAACCTCTTGCATGTCCCTTCTTTAAACACTGTCAAGGTTTAAAGGTAAACACTGAGTCCTCAGACCTTCTTGTGCAACACCTATTTTAGTGGACACACATTAGGAGACTGAGATAGAAACAAGGGTGACTTTAAAAGCCCAAGAGACTTGGTCAAAATCTTCACAATCTACAGCTCTTTCCTTCCTGCCTTCCCACAGGGTCAAAAGAAACACTAGCTACTTAACCTGAAAGTGGACCGACTCGAGGAAGGCCACCACTGCAAGATCCTTTTGACCAAACCCAGCAACCAGAACTTCATCTCTCCTCAGTGAAACTCAAGCTACCATCCCTGGACAAAAAAAAAAATCTGTGATTTTCTTTCTGTTCTTGATGAGCTGGACCCCAATCCCTACTTCCCCCACAGAATTCCCTTTGTACTTGAAGCACCTTCAAAAGGGTTAGTCTTCACAGCTGTGCCCAAGTAGGCTTTCTTGTATTGTTTAACGTGTCATTTTTGGTCATTTGTATGTCATTTTGACTATACAGCTTCCTAGCAGTATGAAGACCAAGACACTTGCCCATCCTGCCAGAGTGAAACCTCAGCTAAGTAATAAAAAGCAGCCTTTAAAAAAAAAAAAAAAAAAAAAAAGGGATACCAAGCCAGGTGTGGTGGTGCCTGCCTTTATTTAATCCCAGAGGCAGACAGGGGCTTCCCTGATCATGGCAATTCTTCAAATGAGCTTCTCCCTTCCCAGGTGACTCTAAGTTGTATCAAGTCTACAATAAAAGCTAACCAGGACAGCTAGCCGGTTGTAGCACTCGCTTTTAATCCCAGCACTGGGAGGCAGAGCCAGGCAGATTTCTTGAGTTTGAGGTCAGCCTGGTCAACAGAATGAGTTCTAGGACAGCCAGGGCTATACAGAGAAACCTTGTCTCAAAAAACAACCAAGATGATACCAGTTCTGGTTGGGAAACACCTATAATCTAGCACCCCCAAAGACCCATTTTCTTACTACCTCAAAAATCAACAAAAACAAAAAGGTCTAGGAGGGCCAATATTCTTTCATTCCTCAACTGCATCTCAATCTCAGTATGGGATAGTAAGCAAGCTCTCTAATTGTAAAGCTGACCTGCACACTAATTAGAACTTGTGGAAACTCCAGACCTTATTGAATACAGTAAAAGGTAACCCATCACCCCTGAGGACTAGACAGCAAAAAACAAAAACAAAAAACAAAACAAACTAAAAACCTCCAGTGTAGCTCATATATGAAGTTTCTCAATAACTAAGAACAGCCAGTCATACTAAATTATCTTTAACTACATGGACAAGCTCCAAACTGAAAATGGCCAAGATCTATTTTCAAAGAGAGTATAACACAGCAGTCGTTGAACAAATACTCCAGAGCACAAAACTGTAAGTTCAAATCTTGCTTCTATCTGTTTATGGAACAGGTCATTCAAACCTGTGTATCTTCTGAGGAATAGTACCTAAGTCTCAAAGGCTTTTATGATTAAGTCAATTAGATCTTTTTTTTTTTTTTGGTTTTTCGAGACAGTGTTTCTCTGTGTAGCTTTGCGCCTTTCCTGGAACTCACTTGGTAGTCCAGGCTGGCCTCGAACTCACAGAGATCCGCCTGGCTCTGCCTCCCGAGTGCTGGGATTAAAGGCGTGCGCCACCACCGCCCGGCGTCAATTAGATCTTAATCAGTAACAACAGGCCCTGAATAAAACTATTCATATCACTGTTATTGCAATCATTAGTTAAGATACACAGAAACCCCAAAAGGGAGGACCCCCCTAAAGGAAGACTAACACTGACAGCACTGTTTTCTATTAAGGACATAAAGTGAAGCTTTTTAGAGCACGGATTAAAAAGGCCTATATAGGGCAAGCAGAAACGGTAATGAGCAATGTAAGAGAGTTGTAACAGACCAGGCCAGGGAGACGGCTCAGCTGGAGAAAAGTGCTTGCCATGCAGGCTTGACAACCCTCAGAGCCCTGAACCCATGTAAAAGTCAGATGCAGCCTGTCTTCTGACCTGCATCCAAGTGCTGGAGCACATGCATGCCCTCAACATACAAACACACACACACACACAAGACTGCAAGACTGTGGTTCAAAGGGAAAAAAACGTGATGTCTTACATAAATGTTGAGATCACAAGCAGGACCCGTTCACCTCTGGTGCTCTGAATTTTAAATTCTATCGCAGCCACAACCCCAACCCCTGAGTTCTGTCACCATAAAAACTAAAACAGGCCGGGCGGTGGTGGCGCACGCCTTTAATCCCAGCACTCGGGAGGCAGAGCCAGGCGGATCTCTGTGAGTTCGAGGCCAGCCTGGTCTCCAAAGCGAGTTCCAGGAAAGGCACAAAGCTGCACAGAGAAACCCTGTCTCGAAAAACCAAAAAAAAAAAAAAAAACTAAAACAGACAACAACAACAAAAACCCCACGTTCCAACGGGGGGGGGGGGGGGGGGGGGGGGGGGCGGCGGCGGCGCACGCCTTTAATCCCAACACTAGAGTCGTAGGCAGGCAGATCTCTGTGAGTTCGAGGCCAGCCTGGGCTACAGAGTGAGTTCCAGGAAAGGCGCAAAGCTACAGAGAAACCTGCCTCAAAAAACCAAAAAGAGAAAAAAAAAAAAAAGAAAAAGAAAAGAAAACACGTTCCACTGAAAAATGCTCTTGATTCATGCTTATCTTCTAATAACTGTTTCAGGAATATGGACCATTCTCTACATCTAATAAACTGAAATAGTAACTTGGAAGGGATCCAAATAAAGTAAGTTATATGATCACTTTTTTTTGGGGGGGGGGGGGAACCTGGTATACAAAAGGATAAAGTGAAGAATTTTCTCTCAATTCTTAGATTATAATGCCTCTAACTAAAAATTCGGTTACTTTAAAAGCTCTTTGGTTCTGCCTGAGCATTGGGATTAAAGGCATGAACCACCACACCAGGATTTATTTATCTTTTTCTAGTGGAAGAAGGGGCAGGGTCTTGATGTATAATGCAGGCTACCCTTAAACTCACTTAAGTAGCAGTAGAGCATGACTCTTGATGTCCTGCCTCCTGGGATTACAGACATGTATCACTGTTTTTTATGCAGTGCTACAGAGGAAACTAGGGCTTCATGAACATAGACAAGCACTCTACACCAACTGAGTTACATCCGCAGCACTTTTATTTGAAAATTTTACAATAACACCAACAGAACTTTTTTAAAAAGCCACGGAACAAAGAATTCTAACCAAGTTGTAAGAATGCATCACAGGTGATAATTTAGACTGCAACAAACCTATCTTTAAAGATGAGATGAGATCTTATATTTGAATTATAAAATAGCTAAAGATCCTAGAAAACATAATCCAGATTTCAGTGCATTCCAAATACCATATCTCCCACTTTACAGTCTATACTTTTCCTTGACTAGGACAAACTTCTAGTTCACTGGAACCAATCTTTACAGTATATCTCATTTAAAAACCACAGCATCAATATAATGGTCTGCTTAGAAACAAAGCACATTTTAATCAGTAAAATCAGTAATAGGGGTTAGGATAGTCTAACAAAGGCTCATCAAAAGCCAATTACATTTAACTTGCCCGGAAGAATGATGAACTAAGCTGCTACTAAGAGCACAGCCATAGATAATAATCTACACAATGCACAACATAAAACTGCAGTAAACTCATCTTGGATAGGAACTGTTTGCTTAAAAAAAAGTGATAAGCCTAGGCAAATGCTAAAATTTATTAAATGCATTAAAAAAAAACAACCCACACAAATTACCCAACTAGAAAGGCTGCTAAGAAGGGCTAGCTCTAACTGCACTGGGCTAAGGGTTAAAAAAATCCTTTGGAAGGTAGGGTGCACAGACTATTCTCAGCATCATCTGGGGCTGTTAGGATAGAAACCTCAACCAAAGAATGAATAATGGTCAGCTTCAAAGCCACCAGGACACCAACTACACCCAAGCATCAAAGCATTACATTTTCTTCTTTGCTCACTAGTAATCCATTGAAAAACAAAGCATGGAAAATGTAGCATTTGTCAGGAAAGCAAACAGCCTATGACAGTAGAAAATCCTAGTCTGGAAAAACAAAATGTTTCCCTGTAATTGCTACTGTAGAGAACAGACCATTAGGTGATTGTAATTGCTTCTGTTTGAGTGTTTTCACAACACAGCGTGGTTCATCAATGAACGGTTTTTCATCACTCCGTTATTTTTAAAAGCCTAGCTGCCCATTTCGGTAGTGTCCACTTCACAAGCACTCTGTCACTCTTAAGCGTTCTTTTCACCATCTACTTATTGAACGCCTTCTAAGCAAGCATGTAAGAGAGAAAACGCTGAAATGGCGCCAAGTCTCACAGCTGTACGGCCAGGATTGCTGCTGGCACTCGCGGTGCTCTACACCCATGCAACTGCACTAGCCTTGGCAGCCATCTTGAAAAAGATGCCGGGCTCACAAGGGAGCCCAGAGTGCAGGCATTGCCTACACTTACCACCAAGGGCTACAAACCATTCTCTGGATCTATGAAGATGTAGTTTGCAACTACGATCAAGGTTAAGTTCCCAAGGACTTAAGGCCACTTCAATATGCTACAGCCGAGCTTTAACAAAAATTGATTTGATCAGCATGATTCCCTGACAAGGAAGTAGAAGAAATAAAAATTGAGGAAGAACCATTTTCTTCAGATGTATTATTTGCCGTTTGGACAAGTAAGATCCCTTTTTGGCTACAGAAAACGTGTTCGAGGTACTAAAAGGACTGCATATTTGAGTCGACTGAACAAAGGCAACATAACCTTACAGTACAGATAACATCTCAGGCACTTGACATGTCAAATCACGTTCCCCAAGAGGTTAGCAAGGTGAAAAATCACCTGTATGCTAATTAGCGGGTCACATTCTTACATAGCAATTTTAACGAAGCAGAAAAGGATGTCAAGGTTAAAACGTGCTTAGCCTGGAGTTGCCTCAGTTTGATGCAAGGTAACTAACTGTTAAGGCATGGTTCATGTGCCGCGCTTGCCTTGACCTGCTTTGTGCCAAGGCTTTGAGCCTAGCTCAAGATCGGTATTTCACGGCAAAACAAAGCAAGTCTACAGACCCACTAATCCCGTCCCCCAAGGAAAAAACACCACCGTTTCCAACCCCTCTCCCTGTCAGGCTCGCGGTGGCCCCGTGCGGCCCCGGAGATTACCCATGCAGGAGGCGGGCCCGAGCTTTCTACACCGGCATCTCACCTGTTGATGAAACCGTATCCGTTCCTTACATTGAACCATTTTACTGTTCCCAAAACCTTCGTTGCTGGAAAACAAAGCACAACAACGTCCAATCAGCAGCTGGCCCTGGCAGTCGGTCCAGGATCCGGCCGCAGGCCCGGGCCGCCGCCCTCCCCGCACACGTGGGTGCCGCTGGGCAGCGCGGGTCCGAGGTGGGTGTGCGCCCGGGCGGCGAGCACGTGAGGGCCGGGGAAGCAGCCCGCGCCGCTCCGGCTGCGTAGGCGGCGGGGCGGGGACCCCGCGCACGAGGCCCCGAGGCTGGTGGGCGCGGGGGAGGGGCGGCCGCGGCCGCGGGCCGGGGCAGCGGCGGGAGCCCGGCGTGCGCGCGCCGCGGGCCTCGGGGGGGAGGGGCGGCCGCGCAGTCGGTGGCTCGGGGCCGCGTCGCCTAACGGTCCGGCCCGCGGCCCCACCCCCGGTCCCTCCTGGCGCTCACCGATGACCTTCTTGTCCCCGCCGGCGGGCGCCGCCGATGTGAGGCCGCCCGGGCCGCCACTCCCCGCGCCGCTGCCCGTGGAGCCGGGCTTGGTGTCGGCGGCGCTGAGGGCGGCGGCGGGGGCGGCGGGCGGCTGCTGGGTCTCGGCCTCGCTGCTCATGGTTGCGGTGGTGGTGACTGGGGCCGGCGGCGACGGCTGCGGCTCCTCCCGGGGTGTGATGGTGACTAGGCCGGCGGCGGCGGTGGGGCTCTCAGGGCTCTCTGGGGTCCGCTCTCCGCTCCCGCTACCGATCGAACTAGCGAGAATGGCGGGACGGGCGGGATAAGCCCCGCGATAGGCCCGCCCTCGCACTCTCCCATTGGCCAGGGCCGCCGTCAATCCCACCACCTGACCGGGTCTCTAGCGTCTATTGGCTCACGCTCTGCGGCTCCTGGGCCCTTATTGGACCCTTTGGCGACTAATTCGGCCGACCCACAGCCGCTCCTGCCTTCGCCGCCATAGAGACCGGAACTAGAATGAGCTGCTCGGCCGTGAGCACCATAGAGTACCGGGAGGACGCGTAGAGGGAACGTTCCTGCACGGGGCTGCGCTCGTCGCGCACGTGGGCCGCGGTGGCCGGGCCTACCCAGGCTTCTAGAAGGGGCTCCCTCCCTCGGCTGGGTGAGCGCCGCGGCCTCCTTAATGGCTCAGGCTTTTGGCGGTCCAGTCACCTTGGAGGGACCACGCAGGCGCTCCTGCTGCCACGAAATCAGCATGTTCAGGGCGGGGGTGCTCCTTGGCCCCGGCGTACGAGGAATGTGTTTCATATTGGCTACAAATTAGATTTAATGTAGTCTCAAATTTATTGGATAAGTTAGACATTTTACCACCCCTAAGCAGCCATGTAGACAAGGATTGCTATCCATGTTTTTACACCCTTGTAAAATATAGGCTGCCTTCTGTTACTGAAGCCCTCCGCCTACCTCCATTCATTCTTTATTAGGCATCTACTATTGACTGGAGATTGAAATAGTTTGCCAGTCAGTTTCTGCCTTCTGACGGAGGCAGAAATTTAAACGCCCAACACTGCATAGCTGGGTGAGCACAGTGTTTGGGGAAGGAAGCAGGAAGAGCTGGGTGGTGACATTTCAGGTAAAGGTAGGTTTGTGCAAAGGCCTGGAAAAAGATAGGGCCTCAAGGAAAATGCAAATAAAGGAAGTCAGTAGGAGTAGAGGGGAATATGGGTTGTAGAGGTGGGCAGGGTCAACTAGGTGTATTTAATGTGAAATTCATCCTGAGGTCACCGATTTCAGGGTAGCTTTAGAGTTCTAAGTAGGGAGTCTCGTCTTTTTTTTTTTTTTTTTTTTTTTTTTAAGAAAAGGCTGCTGCTTGGGGGAATGGGCTGCAGAAAGAGAAGGGATGGGAAAGCAATTAAGAGGACCCAAGATGGCTCAGTGTATAAAGGCACTGGAGACCAAACCTGAAGACTTGAGTTTTTTTATCCCTGAGCCCCACAGGGTGAAAAGAGAAAGCCTCTGCCTGCACGTTTTAGTTACCCCTCCCCCCCATGAGCACTGTGGCATACATCTCCCACCCCCCAGTAAATAAATACATGTAATAGAAATTACAGAAAGAAAGTTAGTGCAGTAACCAACCCTTACCCCTGCCGGCTCCATCTAGACCTGCCACTCCACTTGGTAAAGGCCTCCCTCCGTCAATTCTGGAAAATCTGATCCTGAAGCCAGTTAGGCGACTCTGCCATTGCTTTTGGTGATTGCTATTGCTTAAAGCAGGGACAGCAAAAACAAAAAACACCTTATTCTTGTTTTATGTGCATTGGTGTGTTTTGTTTGCATGTATGTCTTACAAGGGTGTCAGATGGAACTGGAGTTCTGTATAGACAGTTATAAGCTGCCATATGGGTGCTGGAAATTGAACCCAAGTCCTCTGGAAGAGCAGTTAGTACTCTTAAACGCTGAGCCATCTCTCCAGCCCAGCAAAAATTAATATGTAAAGTTTTGTGGGCTGTTGGGTTATAACAGATCAAACTTTAGCTCTGAAAGCAGAGGGTACATGTGTTTGAATTTTTTTTTTTTTTTTTTTTTTGGTTTTTCGAGACAGGGTTTCTCTGTGTAGCTTTGCGCCTTTCCTGGGACTCACTTGGTAGCCCAGGCTGGCCTCGAACTCACAGAGATCCGCCTGGCTCTGCCTCCCGAGTGCTGGGATTAAAGGCGTGCGCCACCACCGCCCGGCGTGTTTGAATTTTTTAACGAAGATATTCTTACTTTTTTTTTGCGGGGGGTGGGGGGCACCATGGAGGTAAGAGGACAGCCTGTGTTGTCTGTCCTCTCCTTTTACCATGTGGGTCCCAGGCCTGGAACTCAGGTCACCCACCTTGCTGTCAGTATCTAGCACCTTTTTTTTTTTTTTTTTTTTTTTTTTTTTTTTTTTTTTTTTGGTTTTTCGAGACAGGGTTTCTCTGTGTAGCTTTGCGCCTTTCCTGGAACTCACTTGGTAGTCCAGGCTGGCCTCGAACTCACAGAGATCCGCCTGGCTCTGCCTCCCGAGTGCTGGGATTAAAGGCGTGCGCCACCACCGCCCGGCTATCTAGCACCTTTTTTTGCCGTCTCGCTGGCCCTGAAACAGTTTACTCCCAGAACTAACCTAGAAATGTGATGTAGCCTTTACTTGTTACAAGGTTGCCATCTTTAAATGGTTTCACTACTTAAGACATAGACTTTTTTCTTTTAGTATTTTGTTGTTTGAAACAGGGTCTTATTCTCTAGCCTAGGTTGGCCTCAAACTCTCAGAGACCCACCTGCTGGATTAAAGGATCAAAGGCATGTGCCACCACAGCCAGTCCTCCTTTTTTAGTATTCCCCCAAACAGCCAATGCCCTTCAAAAAACATCTGAACTCTTTAGTGACTACCATTATCCCAATTCCTTAATGTGCTATGATTCTCTAAATGTAACTCTGCACCCACTCATCCCTTGCCCAACCTAACAAGCTGTTAGTGCATATTATAAATCCTCCCCATCATTCTGTACATTCCTTTTACAACATTCTCTTCTCTATGCCCTTTTGAGACAGGGTCTCACTTGGAAGCTCAGGCTGCCTGGAATTCATGACCTGAGTGGTAGCTGTACAAGCATGTGCCCTTGTGACTGACCTCCCCATGAGCATCTTCCTAGTGCCTAACATGTTTGTTTTGTTTTTTCCTATGATTTGAGACAGGGTCTCACCATGCCTGGACCTCACAGAGATCTTCCTGCCTCTATCTCTCAAATGCTGGGATTAAAGATGTGTTTGACCATGTCAAGCTATGTAATGTTTTAATATATGCTCCTTTTGTTCTGTGCTGCCAAGAGTTGAAATTAATCTTATATTTAATGACACATTATGGAAAATGAATCAGTGAAGTGCCGGCAGCAACAGGGCCACCTGGGCAGCAATCCAGGGGAAAAGGCTTGTGGCAGCAAGGTGGGTAGGGGGCTGCTGTTCAGCCACCCTTCCTCAGCATGCCCTGCAGGCCTGAGGTTTCCCCAGAGTTAGGAAGATACTTAGAAAATGACAGCAGTGGCAACAGAACGTGGTGGTCACCTGTGCTCCCAGAAGTTGAGAGGCTGAGGCAGGAGGATCTCAGTGATTTAGAGGCCATCCTGAGCTACATAGTTCCAGGCCAGCATGGACAGAACCCTTAAGAATAAATGAGCAGGGGCTGGGGAGATGGCCCATGGTTAGATGGTTTGCTGCCCAAGCATGAAGACTGGAATTTGGATCCCCAGAATAATTGGTGAGTGGGTGTGGCAGCCCTCTGGGAACTTCAGCCTGGGAAGGCAGAGACTGGGTCCCTAGGACAAGCCACCTAGCCATGCTAGCCTTGTCAGCGCTGGGTTTGATTGAGAGACTGCCTCCATGAGTAAGGTGGAACAGCAAAGGAAATGATTCTGGACATCAATCTTGGGTGTATGCACACACACGTGTAAAAACTGCATATGCACACCATATACATACCAGAAATGTGGAAAGAAATGAGTTGTTAACTGCTTTGGAAAGATGGTGTCTTACACTGAAATGCCAATTCTGCCACATCTGTCTTTATTGCTTCAGGGTGTCCTACTTCCTCATTTGGGTACTCAATCATCTGTCTTCAGTCTTTGCTGTAACATGAAGATGGTATGTTAAGATGCACTGATGTGTACACCTTTAATTCCAGTACTTGGGGCAGAGGCCAGCCTGGTCTACAGAGCAAGCTCTAGGACAGCCAGGACTACACAGAGAAACCATCTCAGAAAAACAAAACAAAACCAGAAATTCACCCCAGGATTGACAGGTCCTGTTGAAACTCATTTCCTGTCCCAAAGTGGGGGCTTTCCACTCTTCTGCTAGTCATCACCCCCCTACCACCAGCACTTTGGGTGTTTAAACCAACCAGTCCGTCCAAGAACCACCTTACACACAATTCTAGTTCCTGCTTTTTAAACAATGCAAGGGGACACATTCCAGGAATGTCCTTTGCAAAATAGCCTTCACCCTTGTCCCCCGTCCCTCCTGGGCTCTGGTTTAGGGACACACCCTGACCCATCCTGGCCCTCCTCCCTAATCCCAATCAATACATCAGCATTTACATCACACGTCTATTCTTCCAAGCCTTTGAAAGTTTGGAGTTTTTTTGAGACAGGATTTCACTCTGTAGTCCTGGCTGGCCTGGAACTATGTAGACCAGTTTGGCCTCTCTATAGATCCACTTGCCTCTGTTTCCCAAGTGCCTGGTGCCTTCAAAATTTTAGTATTTTTGTGTATATGGCGTGCATGTGTTTATGTGTGTGTAGGACTCAGGCACCAGGTCTCAGATGTCAGTCCTTGATTTCCTGATGCTTTGGGGCAGTTTCTCTTAAGAGAAGCTTTGCTGTTGTGCCACAGCTTTGCTTAGCTGGCTAGCAAGCTTCCCTGGAATTCTCCTGTTTCAACTTCGTATTTTGCTGTTCAACTACTGCGATTATAAACACATCTGACAAGCCGGGCGGTGGTGGCCCACGCCTTTAATCCCAGCACTCGGGAGGCAGAGGCAGGAGGATCTCTGTGAGTTCGAGGCCAGCCTGGTCTACAGGGCGAGATCCAGGACAGGCACCAAAACTACACAGAGAAACCCTGTCTCGAAAAACCAAAAATAAATAAATAAATAAACAAACAAACAAATCTGGCTCTTAGATGGGTTCTGGAGAGCTGAACTCACACTATCCTATTTGTCCAGGAAGGCTTTTATTGGATGAGCCATCTCTCCAGCCCCTGAAAACCCTCTCCCTGCTAAAG